TTCACATCATCCATTAGATGATATTATCAATTGTCGGGATGCACATCTAGCATCACCTTCATAGATCACCATTGTCAGTAAGAGTTCACATTTGATACCTACTGACACCCATTTGGCCACAGTGATACGCACTCAGTGTCCATTGTGCCATCACCCAGCGTGAGCGCGCCATCTCCGCAACTCACCATTGCACATGAGCCCGTGTAATTCCACCGACGGACAGCAGAGGCATAATTGCTATATACCTCACAGCTCATAACCACAACAGTCTGCGGCTGGATTTTTTATAAAATAAGAAACAAAAAGCGAAAAATGTACTTATAGATCTCTGGTCTGAGGCTGGATTTAAAGTACTTATCGGGATTCTGCTCAAAGATGCTTTCTTAAATCTATTGACCAGGTCGCAAATTAGGCGGGTTGCTGGTGATGTAAATTTGCTGTATAACAAAGAAAGCGAAATTTTTCAGGCTGGTATTTGCAACTGGGTGTTAAAAAAAGAGATCGCACAAAATGTCACGGGGCAGGTTTACAAAGTGCGTGGTTAAGTATTATAATTAAGCTGTGCGATGAGAAGAGAAAAGACTATCTAGCTACACGAAGGCCTATAGAGGCTCAGTTATTGCTTAACCTTAAACGACCCCAACTACCATCTTACTTCCGTGACAGATTGAGAAGATGAAGAACTCTTTAGGGTAATTCCAGCTTCCTTAAGTACAACTACTACGTGCTAGATTTAGGTGAGGCTTTGGAGGTTATGTCATGGTGAGCCCTTCCAACTCCAATTTTCGGAATTCTCCTGGAAATCTTCTCATTGAACCTTTTCCTGAGAACTTTCTCCTCGAACCTTCTTCAAGGATGCCTGGCCATAACAAGTACTTTGCTGTCATCTTTGATATTAGAGGACTACAGCAATTTGGCGCGCTCCCGAGGCGCTCAGCAATGGGTCTGGTCTTATGTGTGGTACACAAAATTGAAGAGGCAAGCCTGCAAAAATGGACAGCTACATTTGTTACCCTTGATGTTCAAGGTGCTTTTGACTCAGGTCTTCATAATCTTCTGGTGAGAAAGATGCAGGATCAAGGATGTCCAGACTATCACAATGGTAGATCTGGTCTGCTGGATAGGTAACAGGAATAAGTCACAAGGATAAGTAATCAGGATAGGTAACAATGATATGACTGTGTTGTGTAATGGGAGAGTAAAAGAGGTTTATGTACATGGGAAACAACCAAATACCCGAACACTTCACACTTACCTAATATGGTACTTGGTCCTGCAACACAGACTCGATCCTCAAGTGGACGACCTTGTTTCTAGCACAACAAATGGTCCAAGTGTGTCACTCTGGAGGAATTACTGCTCAGCAACAGCTAATGTCGAGAAGTGACGTTTTTCTAACCACAACCTGGATTACTGGGCTTGGAACTTTAGTTATGGGAGTTTACAGGAGTTTACAGGAGTTTCTATTTTTCTTTCTTTTAACTATCTACTGGTTGTGTAGTGGTTCACGCAGTGAAACCAAAGTGGGCATGCAGAAAGCATGATCTCGGCCGTGTACACCGGTCTTTGGCTCCTAGGAGATATAAAGCATAGCTTAGGACCCTAAAATAATTCAATTCAACAGCTAATGTTATGGCCCGAATAATTTATCCTGAGGCAGACATACTGAACAAGTCACCCAACTACACAATACTAGCAACAGAGATTAATTACAATGCCATCTCCAAGACCGGCGTGCGGAAAGTAGTAATCTTATGCATAATGAAAAGTATCCTTGGATAGATAATTAATATAGGCTCTCAGAAGTGAATGAGACCTGAAGATCTAGGAATTGCCTGCATATTATTTCCCAGATTAATTATCTGAGGAGATTGACAATCTAATCCAGATACCTTGATGCGTTAGACAGTTTATGGACGAGCCGGAGATTGTATAAAGGGATTCTCTGATCATAAGAAGCGGAAGAGATGGCTTTTCCAGATCTTCAGCTTCGCAATTTGTATCACACCCTTTTTCTCGATTATAGTCTTCTTAGGTATCTTGTTGCCACACCCATTATCAAATCTACTTCCACATAAGTTTCCAATCTCCATTGTGAACTTTGTTCCTCAATTATCAACTTTGAAGACGACGAGTTCTACCCTTCGGAAATCTTGCCGTAACAGCTAATCTGTGAAGTCCCACAAGGCTCACTGATATCACCATTCCTTTTCCTTCTGCATATGGCAGAGCCATGAGAAGTGGGAAGCCAGGTATGAGGTTCAGCTACGCTTTCAAGGCCGAGTGTCAGGATTGCCTTCTGTATAATCTATATATGTGGAGATAGCCAGAATCTAGTGTTCTATGATTCTGGTCTGGCCTTTTGGCCGAGCAGTTATGCACCTATCTCATGCATAATGTAGGATGGCGCCCTTTAGCCTGAACACCACCTCTTTGACCCATGTCTCTGCCCTGCTGTCTACATGCTGCTCTGACAGCGAGATTAGGACAATATTCTACAGGGTACGTATGTGGTCTAACAAAGATCTAGGTGGTAGATGAAGGTGATGAGTGGGTTGAAGGGATGACTGGTCTTCTCTAGGAAGAGACAAATAGGCAGATAGTAGCAATAGAGGCTACACGTGGGTCTTGCTGATGAAGAGCTGGAAATAGATAAATGGTCTTCCCAAAGAAGAGATGGGTAAACAAATGTATGGTTAAAGTAATTGAAGAAGATGTTGCGCAAAGAATAATTCTTCTTCACGCCGAGTATTTATATACATAAAATTACCAAATAGCATGTAGCACACAGCCCCTATGCCCAACAATCTGCTACACATCACCTAACAAAACCTTTGTTTTACTTGGTATATGAAATGGGGAAAGTACACTTGTGTTTGACGGCTAAGATATGATGTTTTATTGAGAGTGAATTGTAGATGACTCTATCAATATATATTCTAATTTACAGTGGGAAATACTCCCCTTTTATACCCCATGGACTCGCTTACCAGCAAATCATATGCCCATCATGCTTACTCATGCAGTGTGCCTTGCCTGAACAAATGCGCCAAACGTGTCATGTGAGTTGTCCATGCCTGAAGTACCTTGATGACACACTCACCCTCCATGCGCTACCTGCCAGGGCTACCTTAGCTGAGCACAACAACCATCCCATTCTTATCAGTCTTCCTTGCTGGTTTTAGAAGTGCATTGAACTATTAATTGTGTTTTAAGTTAGCCGTCTGCTGTCATAGGCTAGAGCCTAAGGCAGCCAAGGCTTGGGCATGGGTGACTGATCTGAGCTGATACCAATCAGGTGACTATTCAGTTGCTCTATTTTGGTATAGTCTGGTAACAACACAGACCACCTTTCAATGTATATAAGGAAGACTTTTCCTCTTCCATCTTCTTTCTTTAGTTTAAGATCTTCTATACACAGCACACAGTACAATTCGAATACAATTCTACTTCTAGCCCTTACATCTGCATGGCGTTTCATAATACACTATGCCACAATGATCCATGAAACTAACATATTCTCAAGGAGCAGTGTTATTAGTATTCCGCAGGGTACGAATTTGGTACAAGTAGGTTACAGGTGTGGAGGATGGTGGTGATTCCTAAGAGTAGGAGGTATAAATTCAGCGTTAGGTATAGGGTTCATGTAAGAAGTAAAGGTAAAATAAGTAGTAGGTGAGAAGGGTACAATAACGGCGGTCTTCTTTAGAGAAGAGATAAGTAAGTGAACAATATGTATGAGTATAAACAGAAGACATTGCGTGAAGAAGAATACTCCTTCACGCTGGGTATATATGTACATCAGATAATAGGACAGCCCTAAGCTCTGTCTCGAACAGTATTACTACGCAATCCCTATGAAACGACCCTATGTTCCTGAGCCTGTCCTAATTGTTTGAGAACTTGATCTAACCCCGAGTTGTGTTTTAGAATGGAATTCCCCATGAGACACCATCCTAGTTTCCGCCACGTTTATCCATGAAACATATCTTGCTAGGCAATTGAATCTCGAGTCTTCAGAAGATCATCCATCACCTGCAAAGAGCGTCATCCACGCAGGACAATCAAGTGCTATCTCGATCTCTGTATAGAGTGTAGCCGAGATCATTGCACATAAACATACAACGCAGCAATTTTTTCCCCCTTATTACATTATTACCAACAACTTTAATTCAAATCCTACTCAGACCTTCAAAATGTCACAACCAGGTTTTTCAGAAACTTCGCAGCCAGAAGTAGCATTGTCTGAGAAACTTAAGAGCGCCAATGTATTTCAGGAGACACGAGGAAGCATAAAAGATTAGGAGGATAATATCATGCCAAGAGAAACATTACTCCAGGTGCTAGAAACCCTTGAGTTACAGCCTCAAATTTTGATTCGAGAAATTGAAGCTCAGTACTGGGGCCAGTCAATCACAGATGTAAATAACACAAATTCAAAGCAGCTCACAACGTTCGCAGTACAGTGTGCTATCAGCCACAAGTAATCCATAATTGTCAATGATGAACTTATAGGTTCTTTCTGTAACAATTTCGATGGCTGGAGCATTGAAATGTTCGACAAGATTCATCGAGATGTGAAACATATGCTGAGAATACTGATACGAAGAGGAGGCATCAATACAGGCAGCATCAGAGCCGGTATTGCACGCCAGTTAGCTGCAGTCCTTCAATTTGAAGAGCTACCTGAATGGAATGACAATGACCTTATGACAACTGACCTTCTATTGAAGTCACGTTTCTATCAGAAAAAGTTACGGCTGCTCAACAGCACTGATACTCAAGCCGCACAGCTTTAGCCAACGACAACCCGCACACAACCAGATACCATACGCCGCCCCCTAAGAGTTTTATACCAAACTCCAGCCACTCAAAATGTAGTTTATGAACAGCTTGAGCCAAGTTAAATATAGCCCGTGAAATTCATCAACCTCAACCTCAGCTGCAGTCAAGAGATAATCCATCCCGTGCCAGCTCAGCATACCCTCCTGCTCCGTTCTATGAGCAATCACCGGATTTTCAAACTTTCCAGCATGACCCCTATGCTGACCTCCCTCCTAGCAATGTGCCAAACGAAAGGCTGGAACCATCAGCAGTCATCAATTTTGCTAAGCAATGGAACAAGAAGAACAATTTCCATGGCTTGATGTATGAAGTATTTGATGATAAGGTCAACCAATTCCTAGGAGCATGTGAATTGCTCGAGATCTGTCCATCGCAATTTCATGCAGTTTTCGACCAAATGCTTGAGGACCGAGCGTTGCTGTACTAAAATTGCACAGTGAGCCGGCGAGACTCGTTTACCGACGCCTATATCAAGATAAAAGTGCATTTTGACACGGACGCAAATTGCCAGGTCTACCTCCAATAATGGCAAACAGTAACATTTGCTAGCGTAAAGAATGAAAATCCTGATAAAGGCTTGAGGGAAGTCCTGGATATATTGTTTGATAAGCTTAGTATTTGCCAGAGGGCAATGGGCAATTCATATGAAGGTGAAGACAAGCTCTGTGACCAGCTTTTGCGTGCTTGTAGACAATCCACCAAACTTGCACCAGCCATTGACAAGCCGGCAGGTGACCCCGAAGAACTGATGGCAAACCTAAGATCAACAATTATAAATCATACATTTGCATCACAGTTTTTTGTGAAGAGATCCTCTGCGCCGTCATCGGAGCAGTATTATCTCGTAAGACGTTACAACAACTCTCGCCCTCAAGACAAGAATCAGAGTTATGGTGATACCTGATTCAACTTCCAAAAGAAAGGTAAAAATTGGAAGAAGTGCTATATCTGCAGGAAAGAAGGATGTTGGTGAAAAAAGCATACTGCTGACAAACGGCGTTGAATGAGAAACCAATTCATAACGCAATGTGAAGTTGACAGCATCATTCCTACCACGCAAAGTATAGCAGTTTTTCTTGTTGAGTTTGAGGGTCAGGAGCTGACTGGTCAATATCTCACGGAAGGCATATTTACAAGTGATCATAGCGAAGCTGACAACAATGAGGGCTTTGAGGCACACGCACAAGAAACGTAAAATGCAACTTACCTGACCAACCAAGCGTTCATACACCATGTGACTGGTCAGGATGTCTATAACATGAGATACGACAACCCACCTTCACAGTTTCTCATTGAAGATCGCTACTGAAGAGTCATATTCCAAGGAATTCTGCCAGATACTGGAGCCGCCAATATGTCAACCGTGGGTAGAGAGCAGTTATTAGCTTTACAACAAGAGGATTCGAAAGTAGTGTTTGACACAAGTACAGCGGGCCAGGCAAAAATCCAGTTTGGCAAGGGTAAACCAATTCCTTCAATTGGCTCAACAATTCTTGACACTCTGGTTGGTAAGATCACGTTTCATGTGCTGAACACACCCACGCCGTTCCTTCTTTCTCTTGGGGATATGGACCGTCTTAAATTGTATCTCGACAACACATGAAATGAGAATGTTCAAAGAACAAGCAACGGTCTGAACAGAGTGCCTGTTGTAAGAAAATGGGGGCATGCATAGTTCTTTCTGAACAAAATTGAAAATGCGACACTGTTCCTAACAGAGCCCGAACTTCACCAATTAAATCGTCGATTTGGCCACCCTGCTGTAGAGAGGTTGCACCACATGCTAGTTAAAGCCGGTCATGTGGAGGAAACCAATTGCCAGGTACTCGAAAAGATCAACCACTTCTGTCATCATTGCTAGATGAACAAAAGTGCCCCCCACAGGTTCAAATTCTCCCTGAAAGACAATGCAAACTTCAACTATGAGATCATTATCAATGTGATGAGCCTGAATGGAAAGCCTGTACTCCATGTCGTCGACGCAGCTACATCTTCTCAAGGTGCAAGATTCCTCCCTTCCATGTCAGCCAAAGACACACAGGAAACGCTGAAGGCACTCTAGATCGACACTTACCAGGGACCGCCAGACATCATCACACACAATGCAGGTACAAACTTTGCTTCTGTGGAGTTCAAAGCAGAGGCCAAGTTGATAGGAGTGACGTGTAAGCAGGTGCCAGTTCAAGCACACCAGTCAATTGGTAAGATCGAAAGGTACCACGTGCCACTACGCCGTGCATTCAATATTCTATCTGCCGAGCTTCCAAGTACAAGACCAGAATTGACATTGCAAATGGCAGTCAAGGCCGTTAACAATACCATCGGGCCTGATGGTCCCGTTCCAACACTTCTGGTATTCGGAGCGTACCCGCGCATCAATCAAGACTCGCCTCCATCACCCTCCATGTTAAAGAGAGCTGATGCAATCCAGAAGGCAATGAAAGAGCTCCGCTAAGTACATGCTAAGAGATACGTCGATGATGCACTCAACGCACGAAATGGCCCCGACACAGCCAACATCATCAGCCTCCCGCTACAAGGCAAAGTGCATGTGTGGCGCGAGAACCATGGCTGGCAGGGCCCGTATAAGATTATTGCAATTGATGGTCATGACATCACGCTAGATATGGTCAATGGTCCAGCCACCTTTCGCTCCACCTTGATTCGACCCTACTACTGCAATGAGAGCGGCGATGTGCAGGTTTCGAGTTCAAAACTGCTGCTGAAGGATGATTCTCAACTGGGCTCGGAGGCCACGGAATTACGTCCGCGTATTGAGGCGCCAATTCCGCGCCGATATGGAAGACCAACGGGCAGTAAGAACAAGCCAAAGCCTCTCCCAGCACCCGAAAAGGCAACAGTATTTATCACGCGTAAGGAGGAGGATGATTTTAAGTTGGCTCCCAAACTGCGCGCCGAAGGGACTATCAATACGCCAGGAGAACCATTTGAGGAATCAGATGCTAAGGAGATAAATGATCTTGTTATGCGAGGTGTTTTCAATTTTGAGATGTACAATGAGACCAAACATGGTGGCCATTGTATATTTGGCTCACGTATGGTGCGTTAAGTCAAATCTAAGACTGATAAGCCTTATGAGAAATCGCGGCTCGTTATTTCAGGCCATAGTGATGATGAGAAACGCATGTTGCTCACTCAGTCACCAACTATCCAGCGCATGAGTCAGCGCTTGATCCTCTCAGTAGTGCCGACTCTCATCAGTAAGTATTGCATGTCTCTAACTTTGCGTGATATCACACAAGCATACACACACGCAGAGTCTAGACTGGATCGCCTTGTGTTTGCCAAGTTACCTCTTGAGCTGAAAAGTAAGTATCCTGAGGGGACAATTATGCATGTTATTTGACCACCATATGGCATTGCCGAAGCAGGAGTACATTGGTGGACAACTTACCAAAATCACCACCAGAACCTGTTGAAAATGATAAAGTCGTCATTTGACCCCTACTTGTTGATTACAAAAACAGGAGGTGAAGGATTTGGCATTGTTGGGATGCAGACAGATGACACCCTCATCTTATCAACAGAAGTCTTCTCTGAACTCGAGGAACAGAAGCTTCAAGAAGCCAAGTTCAGAGCGAAGCCTAAAGTCAAGCTCATCAAAGGTACCCATTTCGACTTCAACAGAGCCCAACTTGTGAGCGATGATGTCAATATTCAACTGCTACAAAAGGGTCAAGGTATGAAGCTTCGAACCATCGACAGTAAAGATACCAATCACGCCCAACGGTATGTAGAGCAGCGTGCTCGAGGTGCCTACATCGCTTCCATCTGTCAACCCGAAGCTTCATTTGATATGTCAACGGCAGCGCAGACCCAGCAGCCTGATGAGGTAGAATGCGACAAATTGAATTGCCGAATCAAATGGCAAATGACTAACATCGAGCGCGGGTTGAAATACGTACCACTTGACATCTTGACAGCGAATATTATGGTGCTCACTGATGGCTCATTTGCTAACAACAAGGACATGAGGTCTCAGATCGGGTTCATATTAGCTCTTGTCAATGAAAAAGACCATAACAATATGCAGTTTGACATCCAAGGGAACCTCATCCATTGGAGTTCCACCAAGTGCAAACAAATGACTCGATCTGTGCTGGCATCAGAGATTTATGTAATGGTGAATGGCTTCGACATCGGCCTATCAATTGCGACCACTTTCCGCATGGTTGCGGAACAGTTGGGATTGCCATCACTACCATTAGTGATATGCACTGACTCTCGCTCGTTGTACAAGTGCCTCGTCAAATTGGACACCACCAAAGAGAAGCGTCTAATGATTGATATTATGGCGCTTCCTGAGTCATATCAGCGTAGAGAGATCACGGAGATTTGTTGGATCAACAGCAAAGACAATCCCGCAGACACCATGACAAAAGCTATGCCAAACAAGGCACTACCACACTTCATTGACTCCATTGAGCTATTGATACATATGGAAGGTTTCTTGCAGAGATGATGTGAAGGATGAGGGGCAATACTGTTATGTTTCATTTGTACTTTATTTTGTTACCATACTCATGTAAAGCTTTCTTTTGTAATAGAGGAGGGCAGGAAGAGAGATCTCAAAGTGTCAGCAAAACAGAAAAGCTGCCAGTGTCGGTTCATAGAGCTCCACTAAAATAGATTTGTCATCATGGGGGATCACATGACGAGCTCGCTATGAACACGCTAGCTAGGTCCCACTTTGGTTATGAGTTGGGACTCTCTCTCCCTGACAAGACAGACAGATGGACATAATACTATTAACTCTTTCTCAACCTTTACGATCGATCGTGAAACCACACTGTAGTAATTCCAACAGACTGACCATTAAATTTTCCATGCAAACTGCTCGAATCTCCGTTCCATACATGGTTCTGAAATTGGCTGTTACATTATCATGGGCAATAGAGAAAGTGAAACAACAAGGGAGTTGTGCATATGAAATTGGCCATCCGTCTAGTTGCTAGTTGTAACATTTACATGACTAAGTTATTGCCCTTGATGCATCAGCCCAGTTTACTTGCTTGTAAACTACTCAACTTAGATATCATGATACAATATTGAAATTTAGGGTTATCTGTCTGACACGAGGCGTAGGAGAGGGCGTAGCGTACGGTGTACTGAGGAAGGACGCCTCGTGGGAACACGGAGGGCTTTCTAGAGAAGTGGTAAATGGGAAAGCGGGGAGTCGCTCTAGATAAAGGGACCGGAGGTGACAGTAGGTCACTATAGTTGGCAGAGGACGAGAGTGAGACGTGATTAGAATAATGTAACTATTCCTAAAGACAGAAAA